TTGATTTAAATAAAATAATATATAAAACTTATAATATCATATAATTTAAAATAAATTTTTTCATATTTAAATATTTAGACTCAACTCAAATAAATTCAAGTCAAAATTGAGTTGAGTTAAACTCGAGTTGAGTCAAATTGAGTTGAGTTTAAAATTTATATGACTCGAATCAAGTCAAGTTGAAAGATTTTATAAAATAAATTTGACTTGACTCGACTCGAAAAAAACGAGTTGAATAGAGTTGATCTTTAAACTCGACTCGATTCGACTCATTTGGAACTCTAGTTATAACCCTTCTTATATTTCTTATTTGTAATTATAGGAATAATAAAATTATTTAAATAAAATTATTTTTAATATTCTATCCTTGGTATTTTAGAATTTGTATCTAACAATATTGTTACAAAATGATAAATATTATATAATGTTGTTTGATTACGTCGATGAATATTATAGTTATTGGTATTCATTTGAAAATAATATTTTTTCTGTTTTTCTTGTTATTGAAATTCCAATATTTGCTAATGTATCGGTAGAAGAGTCCAATATCTACTTATTATTAATACTAGGCCACCAAAGTGATGTCAATCAAATCAAAAAGGGGAAATATTTGCTAGAAGTTGGTTGTACAAACCGAAATTGCTTTCTGAGCATTATGAGAAAACCGATTTTTTAATGATTCAAACACCAATAAAAAAAAGACGTGGGAGGCCACCTCTCTCGATATCAGCAAAAATTCGAGCAGTTTTTAAATTTTGCCCCATATCACCAACTCATTTTCAAGATTTTTCTGATAATTTTGATCCACAAAAACTTTATCCTGAAATTTGGGCAAAACGAACGTTTGTAAAAAAGAAAAAGTATGCAACTCTCAAAGAAGAAAATAAATTTGGTTATCATAAAGAGGAGGTAGAAATTTCTGATAAACTGGTAAGAATATTTAAATTTCAAACTTTCTAATATTTAGGCTATTTATGGTATGAATTTACCGGTCTTCTGAAATGCCTAGATCCAAACTACAGACCAAAGTCACGATAATTCTACTTTTGCGACAACAATTACCTCAGCACCTGTTCGATTAAAGTTAATTGTGCGAGATGGAAACGACAATAATGCAAGTTTATCATGTATAAAAAAAAAAGATTCCAATTTAAGTAAAGATTAATAATTATTTGATTCTGATCGACTTTAATAGACCCCAATTAAACCACCAAGAAAAAAGAAACCCAATCCGTTAGATCAAAAAGAGGAATGCTATCTTTTACATAAATTACAACATGCTTCAAAACTCTTATCACCTAAAGCCGCTAGATTAAAGAGAAAATTATTTCTACGAAAAGTAATATAAAGATATTCATTGATTTGACATTTACTCCCTCTGATTTAAATATCTAAGATACCTTATGATTTATAGTTAAAAAAAGATAGAGGGATGAAAATTTTTGATATTGATGCAATTGTCACAGAACACATGAGATCATCTTCACCTCTTGAACCATTGACACCTGATGACGAGGAGGATCAACCTCGTGAAGTAGTTATCGAAACATCCGTTCAAGATAAAGTAGAGAAAGAAACGGATAATTTTAAACAAGTATATAAATTTGCTGAAAGTATTTTCTTCAAAGTATTTAAGAACTTATTTAAGAACTGGTTTTAATATTATTTAGATCACGTGTACGCCTTATAAAAACTCTTTTGCGTCAAGGCTATATGGAACTCCTCGACTCGCATCTTCTCTTACCGCAGAGGAAGCTTGGACGAGTCCTTTCAGTAATAGAAAATTGAAACCGTTTATTCGCAGAGATTACGAAACCATACCACCAAAATTAAATTTATTACAAGATATCATAAGATACCCACATCGGTATATATATGCGTGTAATTGCGAAATTTATTGATAAAAACCATCGGATCCTCAATTATAATATTTGTTTACTATAAAATAGGAATGATCCCAATTGGTTATCACCACCTGTTAGTCCTATAGATTTCTGTTATTTCCAAAGGGAACACTTGGCTCAAGTTAATGATCTGCTGCAAAAGTGTTTTTGGCCAGGCATTGATGGTAAGTCTTTAACATTCTTACATTAAAGGTTTGGAGTGATCTGCTGTTTAATTAATTATTTGTTTGGGAAAATCAGTTTCGGAAAATCTTCTTTTCCCTGATTTTAGTATTGTAACTATGTATAAACGATTAATAGTTGGGTGTGGGTTTATGACTCCTGAAGCTTATATCACGTACATAGCTGTTGCGCCTGGGTGGGAAAAATCAGGGATTGGACAGTGAGTACTCTTCTTTTTTTTTGTAAATTTTTTTTAAATTAATCTCTCACTATTTTCCATCCCTCTTAAATATCAGGTTTATGCTATACCACCTAATTCAGGTTGAATGTCATTTATTTGCAGTCATATTCTTTGAAGTTTCTTTCTAGATGTTAATGTATTACTTTTAAAATAGACGAATATCGGTAAAGATGTTACTCTTCATGTTTCAGCAAATAATCCTGCAATGGTATTTAGAATTAAGTTGTTCTAAGCTCCTTTTTTTGGTTATGAATAAATAATATTAATCATATAATATATATCTGTTATATAGATTCTTTATCAAAAATTTGGTTTCAAGCCGGAAGAATTCATTGTAAATTTTTATGATAAATACTTACCTGATGGAAGTTTGGAGTGTAAAAATGCTTTCTTTGTACGATTGAGGCGATGAATAAAGGTTAATCCCACCACCATTTTTTATTCTTCCATTTCTTCATTTTTTCCTCTCTATCCGCATGATATTTATTTTTTTCTATTTCGTACTCTCGTTCTAAAGTTTTCCAATCGTCGATTTCTTTTTGTTTCATTTCCTGTGGATATCTCACGGCATTACGTAATCGAGGTGTATATGGATGAATGAGCTCTTCCATTTTTTTATGAAACTCATATATCTTTTTTGATAGTATTTAATTTTATGAATTGGATTTGATTGTAATTATATTTTTTTGTAGTTTAATATAAATTAACCATTTCAAAAATTTAAATTAAAAAATTTTAAAAATGAACATACGTTGTGAACTCCGAGCAATGTACCAACGCCAACAGCAATTAATCCACCGGTGGACAAACAAAGAATTGATCCAAAAGCTAAAGCCTTCAAAGAAAAGAGATATGGCCTAAATCGAGATGATGATGATGTTGTTGTTGTTGTCGCTGTTTCTCTTAAATATTCGGATGCTTTATAATGAACATACGAATTAATTAATCATAAATCTTTGAAAAAAAGTGTAAATTAATTAGTGGCAATGCAAATTTATATTACCTTTACGATGAGTATACCAAGCTGAACTGGTTATACCTGTAAAAAATGAAAGAGCCGACAAGGATAATATTAAATTGTGAGAATTTGGAATAGGAGTTACTTGTGTAGTGGAGGTTGTATCATTATTGTGAGTCATTCTACTTGGAAAAAAAATAAACAAAAAAAAAAAGGTGGTCGATTTTCTTAAAAATTTTACTGTTGTAACAGATTTTGGTTGATGATAATTTCGCTTATTATTAGTCCGGAGCGTATATAATTCTATGCTGTTTGACTCAAGATGTCCGCTTTCTCCCCGCTCAATAATTGAGTCAATACCAGTGAGAATTTTTTTTAAATGTCCGCCCGCTCGAAATTTGAGTCGTTTCGTGATTGGTCCTTAACAATCGTTTTCTAGCCGGAACGAAGTGAAGTCGATCAGTGAATTTTTTTTTAATTAAGATTGCTCCGGAATTAACAAGTTATCAATAATATCATGAAAAAAAATACTATAGTAATAAATTAGGTTAGGAATTCGTCATCAAATCTTTAAAGATTTTTGTGATTACGAGCGGTTGAGGATTTGTTCCAAGAAAAGATTGAAAGTAATGAGATGCCATTTTATGAAGAAATTTGTGATCGGCACATGAATTGATATTAACTTTCTGCATATTCTTTATTGGTATATTTAAAGAGTGTTTCTTTTATATTTATTATTTGTTTTAGGACAAGCCTTAACATTCCTTATACTTTATTCCATTAAGTTATTAAATTTATTTTTTTAATTCGAGACTTTGAAAATTTTGATTGATCACCAAAAAGATTTAACAATTCAATTCAATTAAAACAAGTTTCAATATTATAAGCCCATCAAAACTTACAAATAACACAACCACCTTTTTCCGTCTTGAATTGTACTATAAAATTTCAGTTCGACCGTATGTTTTATGTTGTGTTCGCTTTCAACGATAAATCGAATTCTTCCGCTCCGTTATCAGATATCAATTTTTTTGATTTTTTTTGCAAAAGACAGTAAAATCGCATCATGTTGATGATTTTGAGGGGTGGAGAAAAATTAACTTTCTGATTTAATTGACCTTGAAGTGGAGGATTAAATTGTTGAACCTCAGCATAACTTTGACGAGTGGAAATTGTTGTTGTGAAGGTTGATATATTGAAGTGGGATGATGATTGTTGGGATTGTTCTGATAAAGAAATTGATTATTTGGATTATTTGAATTTTTTCTTTGTACGTCTATAAACGAATGCAGATATAACGACCATTACTAAAAAGGCCGCTACCAACCCAATCGATATACAATTATTAGTGTTTTTTGGAGGAAGCGGTTTCTTCTGCGGTTGATGAAGTCAATGGAATCTTATTTGTTTGAGTAGTAGTTACTGCTGCTAGGATCAGAACTACATCCGCATTGAATCGTTTCGTTACAATCGTTGTATCATTTAAGAGAAAAAAAAATATAATTTATCATTAAATGTTTCGTCTGGTGATAAAAAAAAAAAGAATCGAGGTGAATCATGTAATTATATAAGAAATAATACGAGCAAGTTTAAGAGGTATAAAAAAAAGTAAGTTCATACCGAATGAAAGAATCATTAGATAATTAAGTATCGTGGTCGAATGATAGGCAAGCTTTGGTATATTTGGATTGTCAACTGGAGGTCCAATGTAAAGGTATCTAACATAGCAATTGTTTCTATTACCGGACCTTCTTCAAAATGTCCCTCCATAAATAACAATTTTGCCATCATCTAAATGAATAAAGAAAGAAAGAAATAATAACAATATAATTACATAAGACGGCGGAATGAGCCGATCTGCGTCTCTGGTATCTTGGGTCCTGCGGCACGCTAAAACAAATCATCATTATCGTTTATAACTTTATTTTACACAAACCTTTAAAGACCACGTATTTGAGGCAATGCCTTATTGATTAATCTGGGTCATCGAGGAAAATATACTAAGGTTGCGTTGTAAAAAGCTCTACCGATCGGAGCATGAATAAAACTACCTAATCCCAACTCGGATTAATGGTATCCAAATGTCAAAAGAATTCTTAGCAAATGCTATCTTACGTCAAAATAAACTCCACCCAAAATGTAAATTTTTGCTTCATAGCTAACCGAGTTAATTAAAGATCTACTTTTGAGGGATGATCTCTTGTATAACTGGTCACTTCATACATTTGATACCGTATCATACTGATGAACCAAACTCGCGGAATCCGGTTGTAGGTGGTATGATAGAACTATCATTGAAATCTAAATAAAAAAAATCAACTATGGGACTAAACTTTTCAGTAATTCTCCCTATGAAAAATATTTTTCTTTAATGAAAATTTCTGTTTGGGTAGTTGGAAGTGTCGGAATGAACTGTGTGCATTTATTAAAAGGAAAAAATTGACTTAATATGATAAATATCAGACGAATTTTTAATAATAAAAAGATAATCTCCCCATTTTAAATGAGTGCTTTCTTTATTTAATCGAATCGCTTGTCAAAACATCACAAAATGTAAACAATTCCTTTGTAATTTAAGAAATGGAAATAATGACCCGCATCTAATAAGATGGTTGGTCTCATGTCACGTCTTGAACATTCATTATCGCTATTAAGAATTAATTAATTTTCTTTTTTTTTTCACTTTGTAATTTACTTTTGTATTTAAATCCATGTTAATACTATTTAAATTTCAAAAAAAAAAAAAAAAAAAAAAAAGAGAGGAAAAAAAAAGGTAATATAATAATAATAATAATAATAATTAAAAACTAATGCATTCAGGTGATATATTGCGGATTGCAAAATGCTAAATACGCTTTTTTCGCGGCCGAATCTTTTGCATCCTTCTTCCTTTCACAGTGTTCGGACCTGAACGCATGGTTTTTAATAATGATAGAGCAATACCATCCTCCTCCTAACTTTTCAAATTCATACTTAATCTTTTCCCCTCCTTTAGCGCAAAACATCTCTGATAATAGTGTCGGGTAGGTTTTGTACGGTCGAACACCATAAACTACTTGCGGTCGATAAATAGTTGGATAATACAAGTATGATGGATAAATCTGTTGTTCGTATGGACATTGAAATCTTGATATTGCATAATCAATATATTGAGGAGAAAGATTTAACTCCTCATCATCATCGCTCCATCCTTCCTCATAGGCTGCCGTCCCTTCTTCCACTCCGTTCTTTACTTTTTCTTTTGCATCGTCCATCCTTACATCCTCCTCGACCATCTCTTCATCTTCATCATCATCATCATCATCTTCTTCTTCTTCCAAGTTATCAAGTACATTCCATGGTTTAAAAACTTCTTTTCTTTCCCTATTTAACTCTAAATATTCCTTTTCATATGATTGATTAAATAAATAGTTAAAAGCCAACTCGGAAGCTCGCTCTCTGATACAGATTTCGTAACGTGCCACACAATCAGCTTCCTGTTGGAAGTCACCGATTGATACCTTCCCTATAAATGCGTCAAATATTTTCTTTGTATCATAGACGGGTTCACCAAGTTTTTGAAATTTACAAAATTCTTTTAACATGTGACATGGACATTTAAGGTTTATATTGGGATTTTGCCTCCCTTTGGATGCTTGGTGGTTAAGCCAACCGAAACTTCTTGGTTTGTTTCCGATGAAATTCTTCTTTGATCGTTGATTTTGATTCTGATCCTTTGGTTGTATGCTTTCCTTGGAAGTTACCTTCCTTTGAGATTTTTCTTTTGGGTGATTCTTTTGAAGTCTCTTCTTTTGAGGATTTGTATTCATGTACTTGTTTTTTTGAACCTTTAATGATTTGACCAGTCTCTCTCGTAAATTTGGTTCCATGTTTTCCATCAAGTCCTTAAAAGCCAACCTTGCTACATCTTCCTTTGCCCCTTGCATAGTGGTTAGTGCCGGAGGTGAAGACCATGACTTATTAAGGAAGGTAAGGGTACAAGTAATCTCTCCAGGATTTCCCGTTTGATTAAATTTGTATCTCGGGGACGAAACACGTAACTTGTAACTTATGTCTTCAAGGATTGTTAATGGATGCATATTGCTCGGAAAAATGGTTTTGAGATCTATTTCATTATCAATCTCGATATCACTCTGTGCATCAAAACCCGTGGAAAATTTCACTTGCTTATTTTTCTGAGGTTCGAACCCTTGTTGTTGTTGTTGCTGTGCAATTGAAAATCCTTGAGAGGGACCACCAGCTTCAAAATAGCTTTCCATATTTATTCGTATCTTGTATAAAAAAAAAAAAAAAAGAAAATACAGTAGTAATAGTAGTAGTTGTAGTAGTTAGAATTTGTTTTGACGAGAGAGAATTTTATTTTTTCCCTTTTTTTTTTTTAAAAAAAAAATAAAAATAATCAATCAAACCAAATTTATATATGTATGTATATATATAGGTTAAAGAAGTTAAGGGAATCAGGTTATCAAGGTGATCAATCTGCGCTGTTGATTAAAATGATACCAATAATCCTTGACGCGTTTTTTCATTACTTTTCAAGTATTTTTGCATAAACCAATTGTCTAAAATTATCTTCCCTTCATGCTTTGCTTGAACGTTTTCCTTGATGATACAAAGGTGAAAAACCGTTTGGAAATTTCCCGGTTAAGGTGTATGTCACAAGTTAACTCGTGTAACGGACAGGATGATTTACCACAATTGTAAAAAAAAAAAACGGGCGTCGTTTTACAACCCCCGGATCTCAATAGTATATAGTAGGTCACGATAATAAAAACCTCGTTATGTTTGTTCCAAATACCAACTAAATTTTGATTTCTCTTGAGGAAAACATATAATAAATCCGTTATCGCTGTAGTGTAACATCCCATGTATAAAACAATCATGTTGCATAAAATAGTCCCAGAAGTTCCCGAATGTAATCGTTCCAATTTTGGTGATATTAAAAAACGGTTGCTCTTGACACGTGGTTACAAACATATTTGAGTCTCTCTTATTTTGAGCCCTTACGATTGATTATTTTTTTGAAATTTTATTATTTTGAAAAGAATATAATGTCTATGAAAAAAATGTCTATGGAAAAAAAAAAAATAAATAATGAAAAAATGATCAAAGAGGATTAACTAAATGATATCTTCAACAATTTTTTGAGGAGCTACACCTTCAAATGAGATCTTATAAATGGTTGTGAATAGAGGGAATCTATCGTGAAAGAAAAAAATTTTGAAATTAGAATAAAAATTTTTTGAATATGATAAAATTTTCGAAAACATCAAATCATTCATTGAATGCTTACTCCCGCTCTAATCCTTTTCGTTTCAAAACCATGTTGAGTTCTTTCGCGGTAAGCGTCCCTTGTAATTTTTGACCATTAAGGAGTTCTTTCTCTAATTGATCGAACGACTGAAAACAGATAAAAAGTCAATTGAATGAATTTCAAAAATATATATATATATATTTTTTTTTAATTACCTTTCCTGTGAGAACGTGCGCCTCGGCCACCTTTCGATTTCTACCACCATAACAAGAAGTGATTACATCAGCGATACCACAACTTTCGAAAAAGGTTTCATCCTTAATACCCTTATAAAACATTTTAATAAATTTTTTCATTTCTAATAAACCGATTCGAATGATGGCGGCTTTAGTGTTATCACCCATTTTCAACCCATCAATTATCCCCGCACCTATAGCGACAACATTTTTTAACGCTCCACACAATTCAACCCCTACAACGTCATCAACTATACCAACTCTATAATATTTTGTTTCAAATAATCTTTTAAATAATTCTCCTTCTTGACGATTTCGATATCCGATGGTTGTCTCTGAAAATTTCTCCGCCGCGATCTCATTGGCAATGTTTGCACCCGAGAGTGTACAAACCGGTACTTTTAAAACTTCGTGGATTACCTCTGACATTGGACGTATGCCCGTGTCTGAGGTATCGAAACCTTTTATTAAAGTGATCGCTTTGGCCTTTATATGAACCTTTCCCTTTAATTGATCACATACATCGTGCAAGAACTGAATTTTTTTTTTAAAAAAAAAAGAAAAAAAGGTTACTCGTGTGAAAAAAAAAAAAAAAAAAAAAATGAAAGAAAGAAAGAAAGAGAGTAAGTGATACCTGATGAGGAATAACGAATACTAAAATAGTAGCATCTTTGATGGTTTCCAAGAGATCAGGTACGGCTTTAACATTTTCAGGAATTTTGAATCCTGGCAAATATTTTACGTTTTCATGCTTTTCGTTTATCAACTCGGTCAAATTCTTTCCACCTACCGTCTCTTCAAATACCCACATCTTAACCTCACGATCGAATCCTTTTAGTTGAACGACATTCACTCCAATGATTCTTGCAATTGCGGTACCCCTGTAAGTAAGAAAATGGGTTCAACAATTGCAACTTTGTTTTATCGATTTATATTTTTTTCAAAAAGGGTAAATTACCAGTTTCCGCTTCCAATCACAGCAATCTTTTCAACGTCAGTAATTTTCGATTCGATAGCCATCGTGTGATGATTTTTATTAGGATGAACGAAAGATTTTAAAGAGAAATAATGATTTGATCGATTTATCTTGTAGAAGGGGACTCGTGTGAAAAAAATTTTGTTTTTGCCTTTTCTTAAAATTGATCTAAAAAAATACTGCATTTATATATTTCCAAATTTTTTTATAAGGATCCTACTTTAAATGAAGTTATACCATGATTGCATATTATTTATTAATGATTGCATATTATTTACTAATGATTACTTAATATGTTCAAGTGCGATTACATCTATAATACCTCAAATTAGGGAAGAATAATAAAAGGGATTTCTTCAAGGAGTCCAAAAAGGTTTTCCAAAAAAAAAAAATAAGTGCGCCCAACCTGTCATTTGCTAAACAAGTTAATTAATATGGCGCATGAAACCCGTTGTGTTATTTCACATGAAAATCTTCATTGAGTAACTTTTTTTATTTTTAGACTTATCATGTTGATGACGGATTTTTTTTACATCGAATTTACGACATCATTTATTAACTTGGAGTTGAAGATCAAGCTTTCAAACCATACCAGATTAAATCATTTTATGTCGATATGTTTTTTAACTATAACGAGTTATTTATTTTCGACATTCTTTCCATCATGATCAATTTTTCAAAAAGTTCGTCGGGTTTCAAAGCCCAAAACCTTTTTACATAAAGATCTTCCACGTTTTGTCTACCAAATATATATTTTGTCTATAAGTACAAAAATATTTTTCAATATTCAAAATCACAATACAAACCGCAAAATACACAAGAACCTTTTTCATACCTTTTTTAAATGCGCCGCGGCGATAAAATATTTTGTGAAAAGACATTTCTGTTTGCTACTTGGTTCGATAAAAAAAAAAAGAGTCAGGAAATGGATCGACCAAAAGACCTTTCACAAAGCATTACTAAGTTGCCACATTCATTGGTACGTGAATCAGATAGACGTCCATCGGCATACATACAGAATAGATTTGGTGTTACATTCAATTTTTATATTCATTCCATAAAAGTTATTTATTCAAAGGTCATCCGATTCGGTGCATTAAAAAAAAAAACATTTTGTCCTGCCTCTATCAAAAATAATGAACATCATAAAACAGGTAATGTGAAATATATTTTTAATTGCAAACCATCCGACCAGAATTTTCCTAAAGCGTTTTCACCTTTATCAATGAATTTTCCTCATATGTTAAAAGGCCCACCATTTAAAATCTCACACCTTGAAATTCATCATCAAATTCTTGCAATAATAGATTTCTGTAAAAAAAAAAGGTGGACTCATGTGACATTATGATAAATGAAAAATTACCAAATTTAGAACATTTTAAATTTTTAATATGAAATTGAAAACTAGAACTATTTGATTTTTCTGATCACCCGAAAAACTGATCCACGTATATATTTTCCGTTAGATTACCGTGATTTTTTTCGTTTAATCATTTATAGTAATTTCACGGGTTATCAGAGATTGCTTCAAAAGTTTAAATACATGATTACATTGCTATATTTACAATCACAATTGCATGTTTTATTATGTAAGTGTCAAGAAAAAGCTTTGTAAAGTAAAATTACAAAAGCAATTTTTTTTTTGTCAAAAAAGATTTTGGGATCCTCAATAATTGTCCATTTAGATTTAATATTAATCATAAATAATTATAAATAATATGGTCATAGTTTAAATTAATTCTCTCCATAATAACAACCGTGTAATTAATTAATTTATAATATAAATTTAGTAATTTTTGACATCCGACAAGAAATTTGTAATTTCCATATTTTATGATGGACAAATAATATATGCGCCGCATGCACATATTGGTTACATTGGGTCACATCCTCAAAATTATCTTTTGATACATGAAAAAAAAAAAACTTTGATTGTGATTCGATTAACTCCTTTCTAATACCATCAATTAAAATGACTTTTTGAGACCAAACATGAACTCTCCTCACCTCTTGATCATGAATTAAACGACGCTATTTTAGTCGACTGTAAAAATTATAATTGTTGACTAAATCTGGTAAATTATTAATTAGATTTTTAAAATTCAAAAATGCGCTCCATTGTTTCTGTGTTTTGTTTGTTTTATTATTTGTGACGAGTTTTTCCGTGATTTCATGGAATTTCTTTCGAGTCGCAGATCTTTTTACCTTGCTGCGCTATTCGGCGTCAGAAAAGATAAAGGGTACCGAACGGTTGAAATTTAAAAAGTAAATTATGTAACAATAGGCAAACGTTACAAAAAAATTCGAATGGAATGATGTTCATTGGATCAGATAAGAGGAGATATGAAGAGTACTACCATAATAAGAACAAAAGTTAATTTAATTTGACCCTTAAGGTTCGTTTGGTTAATTTGTAACGTTGTAATTTCATTATAACTTTTTTTTTTTTCCTATTGTATAACGTGATATGCACGTATGTTATTTAACAATACAAACTTTAACACTCCATTTGTCTCATGATCAAGTTTTTTTTAATCGATTCCCAATTGATTGCGCGGTTAAATTTCTTTTTCTGTCCATGCGTCTTTTCTTTGCTTATATTTGGGAATATGACATGTAAATTCGTTTTATATACATTTTACATTTCTAAAAGATTTTGTGTAATCCTTTTCAAATTTGGTCAAAATCAATTTATTGCGACATTTAACGGGCGAAATACCTTTTTTACATTGTACAAGGTTTTTTTAATTACTCGTTTTTTTTTTTTTATATAATTAAGGAAGTGGACACCTTTATTTTAAGTAGACTGTACTCATTGTATATTTAATGATTATAAAAATTAAAATTATGATTGATAGACAATTCATTCTGATAAACGTCCGACATAACCTTATCAGTTATAACAGAGTAATAAAAAAAAAAAAATAATCATAATCATCATCGTCATCCATGACTTTCAAACATTATCATTTTAACTATGTACAAGTTTTTTTTCAGTTTGGTCTGCATAAATGCCCGTGCCGTCCGTTACCTGTTACAGGTTGGTGGTGCCTCCAATAAAAATATAACTTTTGACTTGTTTATTTTCTCCACAAATTTTTCTTTTTTCACCTAGGTTAATTTTTTTTTTTTTTTTTTTTTTTTTCCCTCTTCTTTTTTTCTCTCTTCCCTCACTTTTTTTTCTTTTTCTTTTTTTTAATTCCCTCCTTTTTCCGTCCACATCTCGGAAAAACTTCTATGTTTCTGGATGGTGTATAAAGATTTATTTAATTTCATTATAACAAAAAGGTTCGAACTTAATATTATAAAGCATTTATTTTTTTTTAAAAAAAAAAAAATTTCCCCGTTCCCTTTACTATTTATTCCCTGCCTGTTTAATGACAGTTTCGTGTTTTCTCTTTAGACGATTTATTTTCATTAATACAACAACAACAACAACAACAATAACAACAACAACAACATATTACATTCTATATCTGTATTTATTTTAACATACTGGAATACATTAAAATAAAAAAAAAAGTAAAGACGTGTTTTTTTTCATGAGCATATAATATTACTTCTTTATAATGTTTAGTAAATTCCATAAAAAGGCCAAAGAATCAAAACAAAAAAAATCGGTATCAACCAACAACGACAACAACAGCAACGATAACGACAACGACAACAATAATATTGAGTCGTCGAGTAAACCACTAGCGGTCACCGTACATAACAAAACTGGCACCGCTCTTGGTTATTTTATTTCGAGGGCCGCTCCCGGTTTGATACCAGTAGTTGTTAAAACAACAAAGCTATTCCCTAAAAAAAAAATTAATCGAAATCATACTAGTAGAAAGGAAGATGTTGTTCACCGTCACAATTCACCCCCATCTCTGAGTTCTTTTGATGCGAGTTCGAATTCCTTGACTCCCACTACAAGACGTGGTTCCAGATCTTTAAATGCGGTGGATTTAGAAAGTGGTAAAGGTCACATCGATCATCAAAGGCGTCCCTCTGAACCTACCCCTCTACGATTAAATAATATCATGATCGATGATGATGGTAATTTCAAACCTATACAACCTCGGGGTGTGCCTGCGATCAATGTTCACGATTTCGATGATGTCGTGAGCTCGCGAGAGAGCTTATTTTACTCGGTCGATCACTCCACCACTTCAATGTCAAATGTTAACATTATTAAAGAAGGTTATCTAAACAAAAAAATCGATTTCGATTCGAAAATTTCTTCAACCTCACGCGGTTGGAAAGTTTATCGTGTCATTTTAAGAGGATCAAAATTATATTTTTATAAACCTCCTTCTGAGACAGTTTTAAAAACTTTTTTTCCAAATAATAAAGACGTACCGATGGGAAAGGATATTTCTTCAACACTTTCTCCTGTCATAGCGAACGAACGCGGCATGAATCTTAATCCTTCCAATTTTGAATCTAATACCGCGAAATTGATCTTTGAAGGTGGGTCAAATCCTTCCCTCAGTGGAGAGGTTCGATTGATCCCCCCGCTGATATCAAAGTATTATTACGGTGAAATGTGTCATGAGGTGGATCGTTCGGTCGTTATGAGATTCAAGAAGCACGTATGTTTGCTCATATTTGAGGACAATATAGTGATTTGTAAACGTAAGTGGGTGAGGTACACCGCTAATTTTAGACCTATAATGGATGCGATGGGATTTGGTGGTGGAAATCATTCCTCGGTAAATGTCTCCTCTTCAAATGTCGGAGCTGAATTCGGTGGTCAAGATGTTGATACGAGAAGCGTTAGTAGCACGCGTGGCATCCCTGATAATGATGGTTCAACAACGAATAAGGGGAAGGGTTATTATACAAAATGGAAGCTCGATTCCCGTTATTCAATTCATAGCGTTGAGGTCATTCCGGATCCAAAAATTCCGATTTATTCTCCTTATATCGCCCCTTCTTCACAACCCTCTTATTACAATTCTACAAACAGGACAAATGATATTGATACTTCCTCGCTTCATTCTGCTTCTTCCTCCGTTTCCCATGTTGCAAATGCTACCCCTTCCTCTGGTGTGATCCTTAATTTAAATATAACTGATGGTCTTGGTAAGGATAGTTATCGTGTTTTCGTCGTACCGAATGCTGAGGTTAGATCAATATGGATGGCGAAATTGTTTGATGCAAAGAAAGCAAGTTTAAAGAAATTGATGTTGCGACAAGGTGGCACCCCGGCCTCCCCTACGTATGATCCAGACGCTTACGGAGATCAACACAGCCCTGTCGGGTCCCATGATCATAATCTAACCGGCGAGGGCGGGTCAACTGCTGCCCCAGCGATCAGAAGAAGAGCTTATTGGGGAACCGATAAGCATCCGGAATTGATCCTGGGAGAGGTTATACCTGAACATGAGAACGTGTCGGCCACTACGTCACCCGTTTACCCGTCACCTCCCGTGGTCGAATCACAGAGGCTTATTCGCGGAGGTTCGATCGATTCATTGATTCATGAGCTCATATTTGAAACTCAGAAAGGTCTAAGGGATGATGATGATGATGAGTTCCTCCATGCGTTCCTGTTAACGTATCCCCTGTTTACCGAGCCAGCTGCTTTGTTTCGTGAATTGCGTCGTTGTGGTAGCATGCAAAGTTCCCTTAGTGATAATGATGAACGAAAGAAATCAAATGCCATCAGCAAAAGACTGATCACCGTTTTAACCACGTGGTGTAAGAGATATGGTCGAGATTTGTCGCGTGATGAGGTGTACAATGAGATGATGGAAACCGTGGAAGGTTTAATAAAGGAAGGGATCGCAGAAGGTGAAGAGTTAAAGAAATTGATGCAGGAGACTCGTGACAACCTGCAAAGCGTCGTGGACGACTATGAGGATGAATCATTGGTTTCTCATAAGGGTCCTCCAACCCCATTTTCCTTGGATCTTTCCAATTTACTTGTCACAGGCTTAACCCCTGCTCTGTTCTTGAAGATGATCCCAGAGGAATTGGCTCAACAATTGTATATTTATCATTTCCTGGAACTTAAAAAGACAAATCCGAGGCAAGATCTGAAAATTTTCGTTCCGTCAAAACCCCGACCGGATTCACACACAAGAGAGAATCCATTGAACGCCAATCCCTCCGCTCCTCATTTTGTAACGAGATTAATATACCATCACATATTAATCTCGACTCAGCAGTCAGCTTATACCAGTCGTCGACCTCTATTATTGACTCAGTGGATAAAGACCGGCGTAGCATGCAAAACGTTATGCGATATGACAGGTTGGATGGCGGTTGCTTCGGCCATTTGTTCACCTGCCATTGTACGTCTAAAGGAAACGTGGCGACGCGTTGATAAGCAGTGGATCAAGATTGTTGTCAAGGATTGGGTTCCAATCTTAGTCACATGTGGCGGTGTCAGCGGTGAAGTTGATATTGAGAATGTCAAAGATTTATTACTTGTCGTGAATGATAATAAGGAGAAGGGTAAGACGAAACCCATCCCATATTTTGGGTTCATCACACTCGCTTTGGAAAAGTTGAATTCCACCGTGCCAGCTATCATAGACCGATCCGCCAATGACACGACTCGTGTCGGTTCAAGGAATAATAGTGTTTCGGGCAGTGTGATAAATTTTGAAAAATACTGGAGAATGTATGATACTATCGTCGACCCCCTCGCTCAGTGGCAACAAGCTGGAAATTTCAATGAGATCAGTGAAGATTCTTGTCCTTTTTCACCTTCCTCTCCTATGCAAAAATATTTTCATCAATTGAATTCCGTTCCTACTTCTTCGACCCTTGACACTTGGCAGTTATTTGATTCTTCTTTGAGTTGCGAACCAATACTTCATGGTCAATATTTGGAACATCATGCTCGTCAACGAAAATCTCATTCTACATATTATCCTTTGGTATTCACCGAAGTTATACCGACGAATCGATTGTTCAAAAAAAGTGCCTTCTTAAACGCTAGTGGAACTTTAGGGAAGAGGAATTCTAATTCTTCATTAAACCTCGGGGATACGAATCCTGCAGTGTCATCACCTGTACGTTCCAACATCTCTGGACCCACAACCCTCAATATGGACGCGCTACCGGCCTCAACCTCTGGTAAACCGAACTCTCCAAGTCATCTTTCGGTACATCCTTTACGTGGTAATGTTAGGAAGAGGACTCTATCCTTCCCACTGGCCAGAATAGGTCCCCTGACTTCCACCACTTGGAATACCGGGTTGGACCTTGTCACGAGAAATTGGTTGGGCGGACTTGTTCAGCATCGCGGAGGTTACACGGTTTTGTTGAAATGTATGAAAGATATTGCGGGCGTTGGTGAGATGTTAATGTTTGTAAAAGATGGGGAGTTGGTCTTCAAGTCCGTTAGGGATGCTACCGGGTCTCGTCCTGCAAGTCTGGTGGAAAGTTCTTCCGGAACAGGTTCTAAGCGCAATTCTACTCATGGTCTCCTTGCTTTAACTCAACAACAGAATTCACCACGCACGAGTATACACGCAAACAGTGATCACGACGCTCTTATGGTGGTTGTTAAAGCCGGAACTTTGGAACGTTTGGTGGACGTTTTGATCAATGGCGTCGCATCTTATAGCACAAGCATCTACGATGATAATGGCGAACCACCCTTAACGATCGGAAAACAAGGACAGCTCGGAATTAATTCAGAAGAATATTTCGCAACTTTCTTTAGCACGTATCGTAGCTTTTGTGGTCCTATCTTGCTTCTTGACATCTTACGAAAACGGTTCATTAACGCCAAGAAAGTGTCAAAAGAAATCAACGAATCTCAAGATCAAATCGAAGTATCACCTAGCCTGACGCGTGATAATATTAGTTTCAAGGCCGAACCCGTGCGTTATGATTGGAATATGGTTGCTTCAATTCAATCAAAAGTATTAAAAGTATTTAATTATTGGATTTCGGAATTCTTTTATGATTTCTTGGATGACTTGACTTTGAGAAATCGTTTAATGCATTTCATTAATGAAGCAAAAACTGAAGTGAACATTTGGTCTGAACTCGTCACGGAGGAGCCTGTAGCAATCCTAGCTGGGGAGATTAAAGAATTTTTAACATCATTGAAAAGTTTGGTCACGATAAAGAGCCTTGAACCGGCATACGACTTTCCTGATGAAAAGATGATTCGTTTTGTAAATAAAGTGTTGAGTAATCCACGTCAATTATCGTCCGAAGAGAATGATAACAAACCGACGGAAAGTGATGACAATTTTGATGTCCCTTCATTAGATAATAATGTCGCTTCCGATCTTTTGGATAGTTTTGATTTAACCGTGCTCGGATTGTTTGAAGTGGTAACACCGCAAGAATGGATTTTAGCTTATGAAATCCTGGAAACTCAATCTGCAGACGTCCTTGGCTGGTATCCGAAAAAGCAATCTCTTTGGGTTTCAGAAGATGAAATCCTTATCACGGACATATTCATAACCATACAACAGACAGAACGAAACGGCAACCCTAAAGAGTATATCCTTAACTCACTTCCTCGATCCATTCAAACCTTGTGTCGTATGCATTACACCATACGTAACTGGGTAATTCAAGAAATCACTTCAACATCTATCGAAAGTGAGAGACGTGGGAAGCGAATAACCAAATTGCTTGATATGATATTGTTAAGTCGGAAGAGAATGGAAAAATTAGACATTTATCCCAAAGACGAAACTGCAAAGCAAGAATTTGAACATAAAAGAGGAGTTCCCTCCTTTGTTGAGAGCTCAATAGTTAGCGGTTTAATTAGTCCAGAGAGTAGGTTATTCACGAGAGCCTGGAATGATGTAGCACATAGTCGAAAAGGTGGACTGGATACACTTGACACTTTACTTCAGATCGATTCACTAAACATTGTCGAAGAAGATTTACATTCCAATTTCGCTTTAGTACCATGCGTCGGTTGGTTATTTGAAAGGATGTTGGAAATTTGTTGTAACGTTCCTGATATGTCTTTTGAATCAGAAAAGTTGATCAATTATGATAAACGTCGTTACGTATATAATTTGACGCAAATATTTGTTCGACTACAACGTGAGTTGATGGAACGATCTCATGAAAGAAAGCCTTCCGTCGATGTTGGATTCTTGACAAATTCACACAGTATCACTTCCAAGCCGGACCTCCGCTCTATTAAGGACCATTCTTACAAGGAGAATAACGCGAATGCAACACAAAGAACAACCAAGGTTCCAAAACCGTTTAATAGACTTGTCGTTGAGCAGCAGGATAAGATTAGACGCGACCATAAAGAAAGAGATCGTTTGGCCAAAGATATACGTGACACTCAGAACAAATTACAAAAGAAACAAAATGAACTTGAAAAGCGGTCCAGAACACATCAAAGACCACGTAATAAGTCTAGGGTTGAAACCTTTATTAAACAGGTTGCACGACCCATCTCTATTGCTTTGGCAAATACTTGGCATGCTGGAAATTCCACGAACATTAGAAACGCACCTGGAAAATCTCATCACTCGTCTTCTAAAGTCGCACTCGTTATCAATTTAATTAACTCTGAGGCTTCTCCTGATTATGGCATCACACTTGATTTCGTTTTTCGAATTGTAACCGAGGAAGGAGGACAATATTTATTCCAAGCTATCGATAATGACATTATGAATGACTGGATACGAGTTCTCAATGAAGCGGCCATATCAGGGGCGGAAAAACGTAAAACTATATTAAATAAGGAACCAACCATTGAACCCAAGGAGGATGATGTTCCCGAAGATACCAAAACGCGAATCTCTGGTAAGTTTAATTTAAACCTGTTTTGTTTTTTTTTTTTAAAAAAAAAAAAAAAGCGAATCCTGACGCGTCGATTTTCTTGATCAACGATTAGTATATGGTAAAGATTTAGAAACATTGATGCCCGATGGCAAGATTCCAGTTTTGGTTGAAAAATGTATAACCGAAATTGAAAAGAGAGGTAAGCGATCTAATATGTCAGATGACGGTTTTTTACCCCTTTGTACTAAAAGAACATGATCATATTTATCTAGGTCTTACGGAAGTTGGTATTTATCGAATTTCCGGAGCTACCAACGCTATTGAGAACCTTCGTACAGCTTTCAACAAGAGTAAGTGCATATATTTTTATTATTTTTGTCGTCGTCGTCGTCGTCTGACCTTTCTATTTCTTATAGATGCCGATGCTGTCGATTTGAGTGGTGAAGAGTACAGAGACATTAATATCATAGCAAGTGCTCTCAAACTCTTCTTCCGTGTTCTTCCTGAACCTATAATAACTTATGAATTATACGACGCTTTCGTCGAGGCCGACGGTAAACCGACCAACCTATTTGATTATGAGAATTTACAATTGCGATGAATTTATGATCGTTACTAATTATATAACTTACTTTTATTGCAATTTGCCCCATCTTATTTAAATGTACGTCTATCTATAGGCATTAAAGATCATGATGAAAAGCACTATTCTATTAAGGAACTTTTGAATAAACTTCCCAAACCGAATTATGAGTTATTGAAAAGATTAATTGAACATTTGGAAAGGTGAATTAAACATGTGTGTATATATCTGTTGCCATTTAAATATTTTGCTAATCATTTGCTATTAAAGGGTAACGGATTTTCAGGAGCTCAACCATATGTACGCAAGTAATTTGGCTATTGTTTTTGGACCCAATTTACTCAAAGCTAGAGATTATGGAAAAAGCATGTGCAATATAGGTCATCATAATAGCATCGTCAAATGTTTGATTCTTCAATATCATTGGTTCTTTAACGTAGAAGAGGAAGAGGCATCTGAAGTCGAGTATCAAGATGATGATCTTTTGGACGATCCAGATATCGAAACTAGTGAACCTGACGGGGGAAATATGACGGATGATGTTTCATCATTTGAAAATTCTTCGGGGAACGACGGTACATGGCAAACGAGCGAGACGAATTACGATGAACCTAGTAATTTAAATAATGAATCCGGAAGACGTTCAATCAAAGAAGAACATGTTGAATGCACGCAAGAAAATTTACAAGATCCTATAGAGGAATCATCTAAGCAAGGTTCCGATTCAGAACAACAGCAAATCAATAATAAGCATAATTACGTTGAGGACACGAACAACAGAGATTCAATACTAACGAATGTAACAGAGGATCTAGAAGGTGAATTGGAGGAATCATTGAAGGGACCGGAGGAAAATACGATACATGAGCAACATGAGGTACCTTTAAAACGTTCAGATGTAACTTTTGAAGCGAGTCACCGTGATTCTGATTTTACGAATGTAACAGGGAAACCAGATAATGAATTGATAGCGGCACTAGTGGAAAAGGAAGATTCAAAAGAACAGAAACCAGATAATGAATTGATAGCGGCACTAGTGGAAAAGGAAGATTCAAAAGAACAGAAACCAGATAATGAATTGATAGCGGCACTAGTGGAAAAGGAAGATTCAAAAGAACAAGAGGTTAACAATTATTTACAAAACTTTAGTGAAACAGACTGGAGTTTCATTGACAACTTGGCAACAAATGCAACTAAAGATTCCAAAAGAAAATCCAGGTATTCGAAAATGTTTCTGGGTAAACGAATTTCTAATGCGGATGAAATGAATCTTATAGATTTTGATTCCGATTATGAAACATTGCAAGATGAGGCTAAAGGTTCGAATGATTTTAGTGAACATTTAATGGATTATATTGACAATTATAAAGAGCATAACTCCAATCTAGATATACCGCTGCAACCAGAACAATTTGTACGTCAAGATAAAAGTGGGTCGGACGATGTTGAAATTTTGAATCGAACTTCCGTTATCAATCATAATTTAGACGGATCGAGTTTATGATAATTCACTTCAATTTGTTGTGACTGATATGGTTTCAAAAAGAAAAAGCATTGTATATGGACCGGTAATGATGGATCAAGATGAGATTGATACGATTTTTTGAAAAAAAGCAGAAACGCGTGTTGCTCAACAAACTTCCGTTGAAAAATGTTGTGAATGAAAATCGTAAAAACAATGATATAAAGGTCACAAATGAACATTCAAAAAAAAAAACAAAAAACAAAAAACAAAACAAACAAACCGCGGCGCGGATTATCAAATAATATAGTGAATTAATTTATTTATTTTTATTTAAGAATAGCATAGGCTTCATTCATATAAAATTACACAATTCAAGCAAAAAAAAAAAAGAAAAAAAAGTATTCTTTTAGCTATTATAGTTATTTAGACTTTTTTTTTTTTTTGTTTTGCATGTAGTATACATAATGGGGTTTTTTTTTTTCAGCACCATAATTTATAATTTATTGATTTTCATTTTTTTTTTCATATTTTTTTTTTTTTTTGTCAAAATAAAATTACGTTTTAACGTTAAATACGAAAAGAAACAAAAAAAAAAAATTGAAAAAGTTCCAGTAAAAGGATTTTTTTTAATTATAGTAGTTTTAAATCAGTCAAAAAATTTACAATCACGAATATTTATTAGTACAAAAAAAAAAAAAAGGCAGAACATTAACTTTTCTTTTCTTTACAGGTAATATGGTAGATTGCTAGGAAAATCAGGTTCCGGGAATTTTTATTGCATTTTAAAATGTATTAAGCTCTTAATTTTAGTCAAAAATTTCTCGGAACCTGATTTTCCTAGAAACACTCCCATATAATCTATTCATCCGATTTTATTTTTATTATATCTTTCTATTATAATTAAGATTCAAATTTTTGCTATGATTTTATGATCCTATTTACTAATACTAATACTACGCTCCGGACAATTAGAAAATTTTAAAATATATAAAAGTCATGGCTAATGCCGGGTTCTATCACGTGACTATTTGTCACGCCATGTCACGCCTCTGTTTTTTATTTTGGGATGGTGATTTCTTATTTGTCAGTTATTATTTGTCACAGGGACTATCTAATTCGGGCTAAAATAAATGTTTAATAAGCACCTTTACATTTTTTTTTTCTCACACTCTCTCAAGTATTAAAAAAAAAGAAAGAAATACTGGTGGTACCAGACTCTCACATAAAAAAATAAAAATAAAAAAAAAAATGTTTTATCGCCTATCGCTTTTTTGTTGGCTTTTTCCTTTATATGTCGTAAAGTAAGTATTTCCTCGTTCTACAATCTAACGACGATGTCAACCCGTCCCTTTGCCGAAGCCTCCTTCCGGATTTGCATGGCCTTTACATGCTTTCATTAGTTTGGAGAGCTGATGACGCATACGTGAGGATCGTTCGTGGCTACCAAACGCTCTTATTGTATTGAAAGGCCTCTTCTATTTTCCCTTGCGGAGACAAATCAAACTTGGGTTGGTTATAGTTTGCTATTTTCCCTTGCGGAGACAAATCAACCTTTGGTTGGTTATAGCTTGCTATTTTCCCTTGCGGAGACAAATCAGCCTTTGGGTGGTTATAGCAATGCCAAAATATTTACTAAGTTTACCTATTCGGTTTACTGATTTTTTTTTTCACTTTTTTTTTTAGTGAAAACGTTCATCACTTGCTGATAAAGGGATCTGCAAACAATTCTACGATTGCGATGAAGATACTAATAACGATGTGTCATATTTATTTAATGGACCCTCCAATAATATTTGAAAAAGAAACTTTTTAATAACTTCGTGTTATAATCAGTTATTTTTATTTGTATGACCAAAAGTCTTTTATCAATAAAATTTCAATTCGCTTTTTCTTGTATTACTTGTACATGCTTAAGGACAAGAACCATTATGTGAACATTGAGGAACATTTAAAATGTATTTAAAAAAATAAAATAAAACGTCGCTAAATTTTAATCACGTGATTTGAATATCAACCAATAAAATAATTTAGAACTTTTTTTATCTATGGAACAGAATAAATAACGCGTGATGTCATTACATTTTTAATTCCTTCCTAAGCAATGTCTCAAAGTAAAGTTTCGATATTTTCAAATACATTTTAATCGCAAAGAACTTTTAACTTAACATTCATATATATTAATTAGGCTTAGAACTTGTTAACCTTCCTGAAAAATATAAAGAGTGTATGCTCGAAAGGAGAAAGACTCATGGGTTTGTCTTTTTTTTTTTTAGGAAAATTTTTGACACGATTTTAATACTACTTTATGTTATAGAACTCGTAGGACAACGTTTAGAAATTTTAAAATAACTTTACCCCCTAAAGTTAAAATTAGCAATGATATAAACAGCGACGACGAAGACGAAGACGATGATGAGCAAATAGGCAAGATTTTAATTTCATTATGATTAAATGGCATTTATTGGTTAAATTTCATTAAGATTTATATTATTTTATGAATAAAAGATTCAACGCCGACATTTAAAAATTCAAATAATTGGGATCTTACACAAGCTTCTATCAATTCTATCAATTCACCTATTAGTCCTTCAGGTTCAGCAATGGATATTGATACTCTTAATGTTGGTAAAATTGTTGAAATCGTGTCTTCAAAGAAATATATTGATGACAACGACGAGCAATTAGGTAAGATTTTATTGAATTAAATTGATCTAATCATAATTGCATTTATATCGAATTTTTTATTATGTTTCATGAAAAGATATATCACAGGTTCCAAATAATCATTTACCTACTAGTCCTTCACTCACTAGTACTTCAGGTTCAATGGAGATTGATAATCTTAATGTTGGTAAAATTGTTGAAGTTGTTTCTTCAAAGATTTATATGAATGACGACGATAATGATGATGACGATGGACAATTAAGTAAGATTTTTAATTGATTTAAACTGTGTATTAAATTTTTCCATTAAGCTTTTGTATCATTTTATGAATAGAGGTATCACCAACCACTAATATTGGTAAACCCATCGAAATTATGTCTTCAGAGAATGATGACAATGAAGAGCGAATAGGTAAGCATTAATATTTACTCTTAATTGTACTTGAATGTTGGATTCTTCATTGAGTTTTGTATCGTTTTATAGATGCAACACCA